TTTAATCCTTTCTGATTGTTCTTTGTTCTCCCACAGAAACGCTTTTCTGAAGCCAATGAAGTTTATTTAAAAGGTATAGAGAACTGTCCCGACAGCTCCGACCTGCATAACAACTACGGCGTGTTTCTGGTGGACACGGGTGAGTCGAACCTTCCAGTTTTCCAAACGCAGGCTTACTTTAACTAAAAGATTCAAACACCGACCAGATATAAGCCTGTTTTAAAGGACTTCATTTTGCTTTAATTAACCCGCAACCAGAGAGCTGAGCCTTAATATAATTTTCTATACTGTATCAAAATTTGAGTGGGCTTCTGATTAACACCCCATAGAAATTTACATTTAGCAACAATTTCAAAAAATGAATGTAAGTCTTTGGCCCTTTGGTAATCAAATATTAAACTGGTGGAAGAAAAAGGAAAAATACAGATAAAAAGCACCTCTATGTCACGGCGGAGCACCCGGGGGTGTTTGAGGTGTGGACCCAAAAGCAGGATCACACCTCAAAACATGAAGTGTAACATAAGACAAACCGTTTATTTAGGGTGATAACAAAAACAAAGGCGAACTGAGGCAAAGAATAATGATGACCTAAACTGGGAACAAGACAAGAAAACTATGACATGAACCTGAACAGAAGCATGAAAAACGCAGACTTGACAAAACATGAAAAATCCATAGACATGAGGCGAGCAGACACTTAACAGAGGCCTTAGATACACCGAAGGGTAACGACTAATCTGACTGAGCTGCAGCTGTTTTACAAAGATTTCAGTCTGTAGATGTGCAAAGCTGGTAGAGACAGACCCTGAAAGACTGGCAGCTGGAACTGCAGCAAAAGCTGGTTCTACGACTCAGGGGGCTGAATAATTACTACACCCCACTTTGCAGTTATTTATTTGTAAAAAATGTTTGTAATCATGTCTGATTTTCGTTCCACTTCTCTCGTGTGCACCACTTTGTGTTGGTCTTTCACGTAGAAGTCCAATAAGATTGATTCATGTTTGTGGCTGTAATGTGACAAAATGTGGGAAAGTTCAAGGGGGCGAATACTTTTGCAAGCACTGTAACTTAAAGTAAAACAAACTACTCAGAGGACGGGAAGACCAGTAAATAAGGAGACACAGAAGAAACATAAACTAGGCAAAAACCCAATGAAGACAAACTAATAATGATATTAGAACTTAACATTATATCAATAAAAATACAAAAAAACTCAAAAATGCTGGGACCAAGCCCCTTGACACTCTGGGTCCACTCAGTGGAAGAATTGTATGAGATTATCCCTCTGAAATAAAAGTTTGTGCTAAAAAACAGACCCGAGTCTGTTAAATGCTAGGGACAACGTGGCAACATAATGGCTGAGCATTACCATATATTATACTGCATATTTTGCATATGTATTAACAGAAAGAGAACAATGGAAATAAAAGAGAGACTGAGAAAGAAAAACATGGACAGACTTATACTGGTCAATATTTTGACTGTTTTGCCCTTTTTCACAAAGTATATGCTTATAGACTGCTCAAAAAACATTGTTTCTCAATCAGGTAAGTAAATCTCCAAAGGTTGGTTCTGTTCATCTGGACATTTTCAGAAACGTTTCATCATCATCCAAGTGGCTTCTTCAGTCTCAGCTGACTGAGGTTTTCCCCAATCTTATAAACAGAACAGCACAATGACTGAAACCAGCACAATGACTGAAACCAGCACAATGACTGAAACCAGCACAAGGACTGAAACCAGCACAAGGACTGAAACCAGCACAAGGACTGAAACCAGCGCAATGACTGAAACCAGCACAATGACTGAAACCAGCCCACTGAAGGAACAATGAGCTTGGAGGTGCTAGTTTCAGTCATGATCAAATGTGCTGTACCACTGAAAACGCTACGACCAGATGAACAGAATCAACTTTTGGAGATTGTTTGATGGAAATAAAAAAATAAAAACCTACAGAGGGGTAAATTCAAAGACACCCTACATCAAAGTCCATTTTGCAGAAATGTCATTGCAGCAACTGAAATTGTATACGGTAGTTTGCGTCTGCTGATGGGGTTGCAAATGAATATAACGCCAATGTTCTTCACTGATAGGAAGTGACACACCAGCGTGCTCTTTAATTCACTTCAATAACACTTCTTTCCTTTCCTCCCTCTGTTCATTCATTCTCACACTTTCGTTTGCCCAGGAGAAGGACAGCGGGCAGCTGCTCACTACCAGCAAGCTGTGCGACTCAAACCGGCACATTACGTAGCCATGGTAAACCTGGGCCGTCTGCTCCGATCGTCCAATGAGAATCAAGAAGCTGAGTCTTGGTACAAAAGGTGAGCAAAAGTATCTGTCAGTAAAAGTACCTATCAGTGCTGCCGTGTGGCTAAAAATGAGTTTCACATGCATGTTCAGAACAGAATTGACAGGGATCAAAAAATAATAGAATCCTCAGTGCACGACAG